TAGATCGACCCGGATTTAGACTGTCCGGCAGAGACTCCTGTTTGATCAGAAAAAAATCAGAGCCATGCAACCACAGAGTGAGACACAAGAGTTAACGGAAACAGAATAATGCGAGGAATCAAGTCACAAATCACTTTATGCATCTTGATGGATGGATTTTCAGCTAAGACTAAACAAAGATCATTCACCATAACATATAGTTACAGAGAGAGTAAAATACAGTGTCATAAGTTCAAGTAGACGGCGGCGTGAAAATGTACATCACTTAGCTAGGATTAAAAAAAGTCTTATCTAACGGAGGCTTTCTGTTTTGGAAAACTCGAATGAAATGGAATAACGGAAAAACGATAGACAGTGGTACGAGTAAACAAAAGTTTACAACGATACCTAGTTATAAATGTGGATGCGCATTGGTTAAGTTTTGTTTGTAATGGGTGAGTGGTGTCTGATAGAATATTGTCGCAGAAGTTTTCGCAAGAGGTGAACTGTTTGTCGGCGATAAAGCCGAGCACGTGTAAATGGGGAATACCGCTTATGTGTGAAATAATTTTAACAGACCGGCGCACAACTGCAATTACAATCGAACTCGTGCACCATGACTCTCATTTTGGAGACACATTCCAGTTTCTAATACCATACGTGCACATCGATAGCTATGGGTGAGGGGTATTTATTTTGAACTTTATCTCCCACTGCAATGTTCATAGTTCCCTTGTATCACCGTTTGAATTCGCTCGACGTTAAGTGTCGCGATAAACATGGTAATAGTCACAAAGTTACAGCTCCGAATTAAAATATTTTACATCAACCGGTATGGGAATTCATTCTTTCAACATTCTAATCTTCATTCTGCTGTTTTCCCCAACTGGGTAACCAAAAGACAGCAACTAATACCGATGCACGGAAGTGCATGGTTAATGGTAGTAAGAACAGAACAAACAAATAACTATTATTTGATGAGGTTGTTTATTCTGCTCAAAACACATATTCTAAATGGCTTATCTTTTTCATTCAGTGCACAGCAAATAAGCCGACTAATCTAAATTTTCTAGCTCAACTAACTGATAAATCATGTGACTACAAACTACTCACATAATACCTCTCGTTCTGAAGGAACTAAAAATATAACCTAATAAACATCAAAGTTGACCTTGAGATGCACGGATTGTATAATATGTAATATGAACCGGATGAAACATTCGAGTTTTTGGCATACAGTTGAAGACGAGAGACAACTTATTTGAGAGACGCTTGAATCCGACGACTTAGTTCTTGGCTTGTGCAAGTGCTTTGATGTAAATATAAGCCAAATTTGTTGCATATCTGTCATTCTAGAAATGCATTCGTGGAGATCATATCGAAGACGAAGATCGAATCGGGTGAACACATACTTGTATTTGCACGCATTCGAGGAGCAGTTCGATTATTGTCAATGCGGAATCTCGAAGTTCCAGATCCAAAGGACTGGTGATGATTGATTCAACCGTATCCGAAGTCAAATAGGCTAACTTTGCCAACGATAGCAACAGTTTTCGGCGCCCCAAGAATCGCGTTTCTTTACAGCCTTCTTCAAGAAGTATATCAGCGGCCTTCGGGAAATGGAAAGTAAAGATAAAAGAAAATATGATGGACATGAGATATACGGACTTGGGCAAAAACATTTCTCAAACAGAAGAGTGAGAGACGAACAGCACAACAAAAAAATATAGATTTGTATGCAACCTGGTTTTATCATAAACAAATAGCAAATCCTAATCAGATACACTGAGTAGAAGACCACTTAGTGAGTCAAAAGACATGAACTACTATGAAATACGTGATAAAAATATTAATGCAAAAGAAATATAAAAATGAAATAACTGACTTCGTCTGCGAAGATGAAATGGGACATACTTTTGCGTATTGTCTGGTGGTTAGCAGATGGGGCCAGGCGTGATCTCGAGCATCTCCGCGGAGCAGGAATCGACTGAGCGCATCAGCAGAACTCGGTGCAGCTAGTGCAGACTTTTTGAGATTTGAGGCCTCCCGGGTTGGCAATGTAGGTCGCACTTCTGAATGTTCCAAAGAGTCCGGAATTGATTTCAGCACCGAACTAGACTGAATCTTTTCGAGCAAACTCATTAGGGACTGGACACGGGCATGCTCACCACAAGCGAAATACCACTGAAAAAAAGAATGGTCGATAACCGAGTGCAGGAACTTTTGAAAACAAGAAAATATACACATAGGCCACGGAAGACACTTGGCAGAGCAGTACTGAAGAAGATGAGATACCAAGTTTCTGTCAGTACTCGCATTTAGCTGCTTTCGTGCATTTCGGACTACTGTTTGGCTGGACAGTGTTCGACAAAGACAGGAATAGTTTATGGAAACCGATCAACAGGATTGTCTGTCAGCATCATTGTACAGTGCGACGAACTTCACTGATCGCTGTCAAACTCATAATGCATACAAGGTAGGGGAGAATGTGTAAGGAGCATAGGGACCGAGCCTATTTTGAGGGACGGGGAATGAAAGCAAACCTTCGTAACCAACACGCCGAATGCACTGTTCAACTGCGCGTACACGTTACTTCAGGTATCCTTGTCTGATAAGAATTCACAGGAAAATCGCCAATGCTGTCGGTTTGCTCCCAGGACCTTTAGTGTCTCCAATTATCCAGTTACGAAGTCTTTTGGACTCCAACCCGCAAGACGACAGATATCTACTATTTCTAATCGCTCTGTGCGTTTCTTGAAATCTCGTCTTCATGTCATTTACTGGCATCCACGTGGTTTTCTCCAGTCCGGAGAGGTCACTGCAAACAAGGCGCGGTGAGGTAGGCGATCGCTAGACATACGCAAAACGCATCCTAACCAGTGAAGTCTATTGAGCTGAATTCGATGCGCTAGCGAGTTCTTGGATGGATTTCAAAACACCCGATGACTTACTTCCAGGTTACTACTAAGCTCATTCCATCCCACCTGGACCGAATTACTTAAGCACCGATTGTCAAAGACCTTAAAGGGACGAATTTCTTCTATCCACTAATTCAAGGTCTCACAACTGTTAAGCAGAACTGATCGTACAGTAGCGCAGTATACGTGACTTTTCATTTTCAGTGAAACGTCAGGTCGTCGCCACAGGTGTTGTAGTCTTGCGTAAGCTGCAGCCAACTTTAGCTAATTCCTGACCGTCTAGTTTCAGAACGGGACTCAGTGACACCCAGCCTTGTAGCATTATTTTGCATTTTTAAGGTGCAAAGCGCATGCCGTATGGAGCAACAGAACTTGTTAGTCTGACAAGTGCGCTTTGCGAATCCTCCATTTATTCGAACAGACAAACAATATCATCAGCGTACTCTATGTAGTACAGCTTTTCTCCAGCTACCCATTCAATACCTACATTTTGGAGAAAGCTTAGTGTGTTCTCCGGTGTTCCGTCTGTGACGAAATTGAACAGAAATGGCGAAATAGGACACCCTTGATGAACACCACTGTTAATCTCGAACGATGTACTCAGTTCGCCGTAGACCGTTGCGCTACCAGAAGGATGCAAGTATGGTAAACTCAGTATGTTCGCATACTTCTGCGGCATTCCTTTTCGAAGAAGCGAACCCCTGAGTTGTTTGGAACGTAGTCTGAGCTCACGTGTGAAAAATAAAAATAATAATAAGGGATTCACGGTCAACTGAGTCCACGAGTGATTTTAGGTCAAGGGACAAAACCATTGGTCGATCGTGTGTATCACCTAGTTCGAGGACTTGATGCGGCGTGAAGATTTGGTGGACAGAACCGAGATGTGGCTGAAATCCTGATTGTTCTTCGCGGATATCTCCCCGAAGGGTGTCAGATGTCGAAGTATGATCCATGCTATTACATTGGTGACAACTCGGATCAGACTTATTCCACGGTAGTTTGCGCATTCGTTGCAAGATCCCCTCTTAAAAGTGGGAAAGATCAGTGATTAGCTCCGGGATGAGGGAATGCCCAGATGTTACGCGTTAAATCGGTAATGGATTCTATGTCATCGCCCCTCATATTAAAAAGAGTGGGCGGAAATCCGTCAGGTCATGCTGCTTTTCCTTTCTTCAGAGCTTGGATGCAAGATAGTACTTCCGCTTCAGCAGGACGTTCAAGACACTATCCACAAAGCCTTAATTAAAGCAGGCGAAATAGTCTGGTTAGCGCCCGGCCAGCTGAACTGTTCGCCAAAGTAATCCGACCACCGGTCAAGCCGTTGTTTCCTATTGTGAATAGCTTGTCCACTTATGTCGTATATTGTTTCGCTAACTGTGGTTGACAGACCTCGCGTTTTTTGTATCAGTCGGAAGTCTTTGACTATTCCCTGATGCAGTTGCTACTTGCATTTCATTAGCTATCGTTGCCCACCAGTTCTCAAGGTCTTTCTTGAGCTAACTTTGCAGACATCACGTACCCCAGGTTTGGTCCCTGGCGGTCGGGATGTGCCGCCTTTTCTCCATTAGATATTCAATGCCTTGGAATGGCTACCGGTTCAGATCCACAAGCAACCCTCACTGAAGAATGCAATGCTTTTCTAACCTGATTCCACTGCTCATCTACACTACCACGTTGCAGCGCCTTTAGCTCTTGCCCTAGTTCTGATTTAAAGCGGGCACGAACGACTGCGTCAGATAAGCGATGGTCTTCCAACCGAGTTAGGTGGGATTTTCTGCGACCAGTTAGTTGGAGAGTGAACTGCACGAAAACTAATGCTTGGTCAGATTCAACACAGGTAGTCCACTAGGACATGAGTTTTCCACTGAGGCATGCCGGTGGTAGCATGCTGCTACGTGGTCGATTTCAGTTAGCGTACCAGTTGAATTGAAGCGCCACGTTGCTGTTCGTCAAGAGCTGTATCGGAAGTCGGTCTGGGTAGGCATAGTTTATGATCCAAGGAAAACCGAGGGTGATCGCTGTTGTCTGTTCATTGGCAGAGCAGAGCACAACCATCGCCTAGGCAAGCTTTCGATGCGCTGTCTTCCAATTCGCGTGTTAAAATCACCGGCGAGAACAACTATATCGGAGCTTCGGCTCAACCGAATGAGCTCTGTGAGCATCTCATTGAACTCGTCTTCTTGATCATCAAAACTGCAGTTGGTCAGTGCATACGCTGAACTGATGACCATACACCTTTTGGTGTTCTTTCCCTTCCGGACGCGGGGACTGCATCAGTTTCAGTTTCAGTTTTACAACCATTAC